GGGAAGATGAGGCGTTCTGCTCCCGTAAAGATTTACAGCCTTGGAAACCCTATGCCGGGTCGTTATGAGTCAGAACCAACTCCACGGCACTTAACAACACAATAATCATCTAGATGATCAACAAAATCATACACCAAACTTTCATTTGTAGTGCTTGTCAATTTCTATGGTGTAAATACAACCACCACAACAACTTTCAAGCAACCAAATGTGTTATCACTGAAGGCAGAGTTGAAATAACTCTCTTATGTTGTCATACTGTGGTGGATTTCATGTTGCTAAAAGCTATACCACTGATACATCAAATACCAGCAGGGTCACCACTGGTGGAGAAGTTTCAATGGAGTTTCTAGACTGATACAGACAAAGAAGAAGCACCTGTCAATCGACTTCTGAGAAGTTGCCAATAAAAAGCTTCTGAGTAACAGCAGAGCATTGTCAGAGATGGTGCTTGAAGATGAGCCCCTCAGACAGGAAAGCATTCAGTAGACAACTGAAGAAGAGCTGCCTCCTCAAAGCAGAGTCAACCTTACTGATATGGATGGAGTAAAACTTTGAGATCTTTATCTGCTGTTGGGATATGACTCAAAATAAAGAAGGAGACAGCTGCAGTTGTTAACATGAAATGTACAAAGTATGAATCTTGGAAAATTGGAAGTTGTCAAAAATGAAATAGAAAGTGAAAGATCAATATCTTAGGCACTAGTGAACTGGAATGAAATGGTGTTGGCCATTAGGAATCAACAAATTATGCAGAAAGGACTACATGAACATGAAGAGAATGGGGTTGCATTTGTGCTCATAAAGAACATTTCATTGTCTATCTTGAAGTGCAAGGAAGCAAGATAATACTCATAGTATCCCTACTCTTACAAGGAAGAACAGTTAATACAAATGTAACATGATTTACATACCAACCACTAATTCCAAAGATGAATATATTATAGATTTTTAAATAAAATATGGTAGTCTAAAATTGATCAAACATACAATCAAGTTGCATTCATCATTCTAGTGATTGGAAAGCAAAAGATGGAAACAAAGAAGAAAGACCAGTAGTTGGAAAATTAAACTCTGTTGACAGGAGCAACCTCAGAGATCATTTGATAGAATTTTGCAGGATCAGCAACTTATTAATTACAAATACCTGTTTATAATAATGTAAGCATAAACTA